ACAAAGTAATATAAATGCGTAGGAATTTAATTAAAGTCAGAATTGTGCACGGACCATTTTATACGAGAAACAAGCGAAGGTTCTGGAGGGGAAAATCCATTATGCACGTTACTAAATGAAAAGTCTGGTGGAGTACGAGAAAAACAAACAAACAAACATTGGCCTTGTAATCCTGGGGTCTCGGGTTCGATTCCCGGCGGTGCCCGAATTTATATCTTGTGTTGGGCAAGGCCGTGGTCTAGGCAACACGGAGTTTTCCTCTGTGGCATCCCAACAATTACTCCATTCACACACAGAAGAAGGCAATGGCAAACCACTTCTGGATCATCTGCCAAGAACGTATATGAACAGGTCCCAGTCCGAGAAGAGAAAAGGATGGAAGGATCCTGTTCATTTGGACCTGTCGTCAGACAGAACGCTAAATAAATAAAATAGATCGGTAGGTGCGGGCGTGGCCACCAAGATCTCCCGACTTTAATCCTATCGATTTTTTTTTTCTGAGAGTCACATTAAATCTTTGGTTTACGAATAGAAGACTAAAGAATGAAGGGTTAGTGCCCTCTCAGAGTAGTGAATGTTGCACAATTACGAGTATTTAAATTTTCTAATTGTTAATATCGAATATGTTTAGCAATTATGCCTCGGTATACCAATACCAAAGAAAGACATCCAAGAGCGTCTTTGTAAGTTGGATTTAAGACGAATATTAATCTAAAAAAAGCTTAATCTGCGAAAGAAGACAGATATTTTTTACGAGGACCTTCTTATCTTTGATGTCGGCATGATTATCAACATTATAATTTATAATTTTGTACGCTTTGTCATCTCTAATGGCCATAACGGTGTTCTTATTCTGGGTTATGATGCCTTGTAGACGTTTGGGTAGATACTAGGGTTTATACAAAAACCGACTTTTGAAAAAACCGGTTTTCGAATTCTAGTATTTCCAAAAAAAACGGTTTTCGAATTTTTACAAAAAAACAAAATATAATTAAAACAGTAAAAAAGTTTATACTTATTTTAAAAATTTTCAGTTTATTTAATATTTATGGAACTACAAAAATATAACAAAATAAAATATATTCCATACAAAACCAAATAAAAACTAAAAAAA